GATAGCCAAATGGCGGCCGCTTTAAGGCCGAAAATGCATTGAAATCGCACATTTTCACCATTCCGAACCCGGATCTCAGTTATGCATGGACGGATTTTGTTCAAATTCGGTACTTACATTAAACATAATAGGACCTTGATGCACGTTATTTTTTTTTTCGGATCAAGTTCGAAATGGCCGACTGGCGGCCATTTTCTTAAAGAATTCAGTTCTGGATCCGTATCCAAGACATGTCTGGATTGATCAAGTTCAAACTTCACACACACATGGTGCATCATGTCACAAATAGATATGTGCATTTGTTTCATGATCCGCTTAGCAATAGCTGAATGATGGCCATTTTAAGGCCGAAAATGCATTAAAATCACGTATTTTCACAATTCCAGAACCGGATCTCAGTCATGCATGCATGGATTTTGTTCAAATTTAGTACAATGTGTTGTACATATGCAGGTGCATTTCGGTCATGATCTGCTTTGAATGTATATGTCACTCAAATATGAACGGAACGGGGACGTGTCATTGACAATGACTTGTTAACTAATTTAATTTTCAACAAAATCATTTTTGAGTCAGAATATTGTATCCATGTCGTTAGTAAGATAGTAATAAATCTTGTACTTCAGCTGTCTTGTCACCAGCCAAGAGGGCAGCCCGTACAGCTGCTTCATAGGCTACTGCCTCGTCGGTGTATATAAAATCGTTAGGGAGAGGCATGACATATGTGTAGTATCAGTATGAATAAATTACCAGCAGCTGGTATACATTGCATTTACTGATTATTAGTCCTGTTTTTTAGTCCCTGTTCGATTGATTGACCTCTGTGTGTGAATCCGTGCGGACCAATATCTTAGACATGCCTGGACCAATTACATTCAAACTTCACATCTACATCATATATAATATTATACATATGCACATCAATTTGTTTCACAATCTGATTCAAGATATCCGAATGGTGGCCATTTTTGTACTGAAATCAAGCATTTCTTGCATTCCAGAAACGGATGTTGGCAGTTTACAGATGGATTTTGTTCGAACTTGGTACATACATTGGACATGCACATCATTTTGTTTTTCAGATCGGATTCAAAATGGCTGACTGGTGGCCAATTTGTTTTAATCAATGTGGTTCTAGTGCCATATCTCTGGCATTATGTTCAATTTGTATATATTCATTATAAATCATGTCATAGATATACAGATCTATTGCTTTGACCATCCAATTTAAAATGGCCAAATGGTGGCTATTTTTCTGCTAAAAAATCATTGAAAATTAAGCACTTCTGGAATTCCGGAACTGGATCTTGGTCGTTTATGGATAGATTTTGTTCAAACTTGGTACATAGATTAAACATTATTGGTTCTTGATGCGCGTCATTTTTTTTTTTCAGAACAGATTCAACATGGCTGACAGGCGGCCATTTTGTTTAAATGAATGTGGTTCTAGGATATATCTTTGACATGCTTTGACTGATTATGTTCAAATTTTGTAAATTCATTATACATCAAGTCATAGATATACAGATGTATTCAAAATGGTCAACTGAAGTTAATTTTGTTTTAATTATTGATGTTCCAGAGGAATATTTCTCAATATGGACTAGTACTCGTTTGATGATCAGATACAAGATCACTAAATGTCAATCATTTTAATGTTAAAAAATGATAATAATCAAGCATCAACTTCTGGATCCATTTCTGACATTTTTATGTTCAAACTATATTACTATAAAAAAAACTATATCTCTTGAATTTAATAACTAACGGGTACTGTGCCATGCATGGCTTGTTTTTTCTATTTTGCTCTTATGTAATTGAATGTAATTATGTGTATCTAAACACAATATTAATTTCACACGATGAATAACCTCATGTGAAAAATACTGTAAACCATTTATTTTTTGCGATTTCAGGATTTTATGCATGAAGAAAAAATGTTGCCAAATTACTGAAACTGTGACATAGAACACCATAGAAATTTATAATGGTTCAAAACTTTGTATTTCTTAAAATTAAAATGGTTTATAGTATTATTTGGTAATGAAATTTGAACGCATGCTAAAAACAGTATCCAGAATAATGTATTTTTATTGGTACATTGGAATGTATATGTATTAAATTTTGTGGGAAACAAATTTTCAACTCATTGCTGTAAACAAAAAATACGGCCAAATCTGGTTGTTGTTTTTTTTAAAACAAAACATTGTCAAAATACATGTACTTGAGCATGCAGCATGTGAATTGTAGATTTTTTTTTTCCATGTAGAAAAAACAATATTTGATACAAAATACACAAAATAATGATAAATTAATAAACTACCTTTTCCAATGTTGAAAGTTAATTTCCAATTATCGTAGTTCAAGTTGTATATAAATTTATGGTACAATAAAGTTTACCATGGTCCAACAAAATCTTGTAACTTTCTTGGTTTTACATTTAATCACATTTTTTTTTCCCAGATGTTAAGATATTTTGTGGAATATGGTCTTGGTGGACTTAAAGATGATGAGACAATGGACGATGCAGTGGATATGATATTCCGAGACCAAGATGGAGATAAAAATGGACATGTGTCTTACGAGGAGTTTGTTGGGCCGAAACATGATGAACTCTAATATTTTAACTTGGATTGTTTTCTTCTTACGTAGACTGGCATGCTTTTCTTAATACATGTATTGATGAGATCAGAAATTTATGTGTTGGAATCATCTTACATGATTCTTCCTATTTGACTATTCCAAGTCAATATTCAGCCAATGGAAGACACTTGGCTTCTTCACTGGCATTGGTGAATTGTAAGACTGGTACTGATTGGCTGCATAATCAGTTACTTGAATTTGATGGCCAATAAGATTGTGACTTGCGGATTCTGACTGAGAATATTATGTGAAATATTTGAATATGTGCAAGTGTGGGAGGGTAACCCGGTATATATACGTTCTACCTACGTTATTTGTTCAATTGTCAATGATTTGAGTAATGAAGGTTGAAGACTGTTTTAGCTTATCATGTGATCATTAGATTTGACTTCAGTTGCTAAGTTTTGAAAAGTTTTTCAACTTTCGTGTATTCATAAAGATTCGCTTCTCTAATGCAGAACATCAGTGAATATTTCCCCCAAAATATGTTTCATAATATTCCCAAGACTCCAACAAAATGATCTCAGACAGTTTTAGAAAGCATGATACATATTTTTTGATATTATTTATTATTCATCACTGTACCACCTTGATTAAATTGAGCAAGTTTTATTGTAGTACTTATATAAACATCCTTTGATGCATTTTTTTGTTATCTTTCTATAAACTATCTATTTTTTTATGATTTTCAATACTGTAAGTTTGTTTTGTATATTTTTGTTACTTTTTCACACAATCAGTGTATATGTTTGAATTCTATACTTTTCTACCAGCAGGTGAACTTAGAATTGTGACGGGTTGTAATAAAAGTATTTAATGTCAAACTAAAAATGTTTGAATTCATTCATTCAACCAGGGACAGACTAGTGTTGCCGTTTCTTGTCGTGCTGACCCTGTTACATTGTTGTCTAAAGTCAACTTATGGTTCATCTTTTGTATAGTACTTTCTATGTGAAATTAGAAAATGTCGTCATCGAGATGAGATATTGGTCACATTACTAACATAAAGTAAAAGATAGTGTCCTGAAAACGCGTTTTGATACCAATCTATCTTCGATTGCATTTGGACAGGTTACCTCATCTACAATGGATATAATTCTGAATTTGTACTTTCATTGAAATCTGGCCTTTGGTAGTTTGAACCCCCCCCCCCCCCCCCAAAAAAAAAAAAAAAAAAAAAAATTTGCATAAATTTATATAGCCAACATCAACTAATTCTACCTTTATGAGCTGAAAGAAAACCAATCTGATTAAAATAAGTTTCTAGATTTTTTTTTTTTTAATTTGTGTTTATTTATTTTTATTATACATTGTCTTTTACTTTAATCTTTATTTGCTGGCAGTTTAAGAGTTTTGGTAATCACGAAAAATGGCGATAGTTAAAAAATAATAAGTACGTAGCAAAAAACATAAAATAAACAAAATACGGTAGTTATAAAAAAAAAGTAAAATAAATATATAAAATAAAATACACATCGTACAATAAATCAGATTTTAATGTGATAGATGTTAAACTGGTGTAAAAGTACTTTTGAGACTTCGCAAATTTTTTTTTTTTTTAAAATGATCATAGCAAGTTACAAAATTCATGGCGAATGCAAAGGCACATTGATATTTCACTCTAGTACTATTGCTCAAAATAGTTTTGAATATATTTCACGTACAGTGACAATTACCTAATTAGTATGCAATTTGGGAAATCACTGTGTGTGTACGCATGGTTTGGGATGGAACAATTTTGAATGCAAATAAATCATGCATAGAACTCACTGCTGCAAGAAACTAGTTGTCGGTTGACAAATTTTATAACCTGTACATTTCTATGCAATGTTTACAAGTTTCATTGAGGATTATTCTGTAAAGAAATCACTGATTCAATTATTTCGACTTTTCTCAAAATAGACAGGGATTTGGTGCTTGCATGTGAATGACTGACTTTGAAATGTTCTATTCAGATTAGACAGCGCCCTCTTGTGCCAATTCCCCTTTAGACAGTTCTAAATCACATGGGAAATTCCTTTAAATGTGTTCTCTTTAAACAGCATACCCTGCTACTTGAGCCATTTGATATTGCAGTTTCTAATTCACTCAACACGTAGAAAAATTTAAAAAAAAGTTTTCAAAGTATAGATTTTGCATATTGTTCGGCAATTTCTTTCAGTTTTCCCAGATATTCCAAGTTCACATTCTTTGCTTGTAGTCTTCCCATTGTGTCTTGTCCACCCACTTTGCCATCTACCAAAGAATTCACATGCTGCAGCCACCCATTTGCCTTCAATCCTTGTTCTATAGCATGCTGTAACAAATCAAGGTAGATATGTAAAGATTTGGATATACTGATACATGTACAAGAAAGTTTCTCAATTGTGCATCAGTTATGTGCAAATCAAGTTTGTTTTTTCTTTACTGCAACATGCAATACATGGGGGCAAAATGCTGCTTGAATATATAGAGAAAAATGTTTTCACCGAAATACTTTCACCTTGAAAAATAATTAAACGTTTTCATGAAAGTAGGAAAAAAATTAACTTTTATTTGTAATTCCAATTTGCAGATATCTTGAAGCTATATTATTAATGTAGTGGCATAAGACTAGATAAATTTTACTCACCAAATCAGATAAGATATTCATGTATTATAATAGCAATACTGTCTTTTTGGAATGATGAATATTTGATATCAAGATGGGCATTTTTTGCATAGACATGCATCCAGGACTGTTGGTTTATATTTTTTTAATATACATCATTCATAGTTCATTAAAAGAACTTACTGACTTTAAAGTAGTTTAACATCCCATATATTTTGAAGTGTGGAGCTTTATCACTTTCATGTGGGAAAATTGCTCTCACTATCAATGACATGAATTCTTGCATAATTTAGCTCATTAACTTTAATACTCGTATAAATGTCATAGATACTGCAGAAAAGATGTTTGCATGTCTGGATTGAGGGACAAGAAGTTTGAAATGAGAGAATATACCTTTGGTGTGTAACACACACATGTGATTGTACAGTCGTCTTTATCAACGCCATACAATAAGATGGCAGATGATGGAGTTGTATTCTTAAATATATCCATGATTTGCATCAATGCCTGGAACAAAAATAAACTATTTTATTCATTTAAAACTATCACATTTGATGGAAAAAAACAGTGAAATCAAATAAAAAACTAAACATAGTATATTTATGCTGCCAAATATATTATAGTCCAGCAATAAGTTTCATACTGATATATCAATTATTATTTTTATGTGAATTTTATGCGCTAATGTTACTGTTTCAATGCAAGTGGTTTCTCCACTGAGGGCAGGACAACTCCTTAAATATTTTCGGAAACTTGCACACATTCATTGCATTAAAGATTTCACACACTAAAGCTATAACAATGATTTCAGATTGCAATTGCGAGATTTGGTAATCTCTCTCTCAGCACAATGCTAGTTGCATTGCCTTTATTTCATCTGCCCTTTATAAATTGTACATTACATTTTTGGTAATTAAGCAAGGGGTGATTCTAACCTCACTGCAGTGTTTAATTAATGCCTACCCGAATTCTCAATAATAGCACAACTGCATCAGAAAAAGATAGCTATTTACCTTGGTATTAGAACCAGTGTGTATTTCTTTTACAATGAAGGGTCTATCTAATCTATCATTTGCCATATCAGCTGCCTGACTTATTGCCTGTGAAAGATAAAAAAAAACATCATCATTAGATGATTAAAGTTAAGAGATAGTCATCGACCGATTTGCACTGTTTCCTGAAAGTCTGCCATCCATGGTCGCAAACATGTGGATGATTCTGTTAGAAAAAGCTGATTAGGCATGCCAAGGAGCTGACTCCACTTCAACCTGCATCAATTTCAAATTTAAACCAATAGATTTTGTCGTCTTATATCTTGTACATCTTAACTGACAAAAACATGCTGCTTCACCTTCGATTTCCACCTGATTTTGTTTTCCATCACCGGAGCATGAGTTACTATGTTTGATTTCATTGACAGTGAAAATAGAGGCATACTGGGTATTTTGTCACGGTATAATTGTAAGTCAACAGCAAAATAAAAGAACCTTGGCTGGTGAAAATGATAAATAAGCTCCAAAAGACTTAAAACAAATCAACATTGGTGGCAACACCCTGGATCAACAACTAATTCATTTTGACGCTTGATACTTTGATACCCACAGGTCACATTTCATTCGCATGGGGACCACTCAGCTCACATTTCATTCCCATGTGGTCCTCACAGCTCAAATTTCATTCGCATGGGGTCCACTCAGCTCACATTTCATTCCCATGTGGTCCACTCAGCTCACATTTCATTCCCATGAGGGCCACTCAGCTCACATTTCATTCACATGTGGTTCACTCAGCTCACATTTCATTCACATGTGATCTACTCCGATCAAGTTTCATTCACATTTAGTTCACTCAGCTCACATTTCATTCACATGTGGTCCACTAAGCTCAAGTTTCATTCACATTTGGTCCACTCAGCTCACATTTCATTCACATGTGGTCCACGCAGCTCAAGTTTCATTCACATTTGGTCTACTCAGCTCACATTTCATTCCCATGTGGTCCACTCAGCTCATATTTCATTCACATGTGGTCCATGCAGCTCAAGTTTCATTCACATTTGGTCTACTCAGCTCACATTTCATTCACATGTGGTTCACTCAGCTCATATTTCATTCACATGTGGTCCACTCTGCTCGCTTTTCATTTGCAGGGGTCCACTCAGCTCACATTTCATTCACACGTGGTCCACTCAGCTCAAGTTTCATTCAAATTTGGTCCACTCAGCTCACATTTCATTCACATGTGGTCCAAGCAGCTCAAGTTTCATTCACATTTGGTCTACTCAGCTCACATTTCATTCACATGTGGTTCACTCAGCTCACATTTCATTCACATGTGGTCCATGCAGCTCAAGTTTCATTCACATTTGGTCCACTCGGCTCACATTTCATTAACACGTGGTCCACTCAGCTCACATTTCATTCACATGTGGTTCACTCAGCTCACATTTCATTCACATGTGGCCCACTCAGCTCACATTTCATTCACATTTGGTCCACTCAGCTCAAGTTTCATTCACATTTGGTTTACTCAGCTCACATTTCATTCACATGTGGTCCAAGCAGCTCAAGTTTCATTCACATGTGGCCCACTCAGCTCACATTTCATTCACATGTGGTCCATTCAGCTCGCATTTCATTTGCAGGGGTCCACTCAGCTCACATTTCATTCACACGTGATCCACTCAGCACACATTTCATTCACTCAGCTCACATTTCATTCACATGTGGTCCACTAAGCTCAAGTTTCATTCACATTTGGTCCACTCAGCTCAAGTTTCATTCACATTTGGTCTACTCAGCTCACATTTCATTCCCATGTGGTCCACTCAGCTCACATTTCATTCACATGTGGTCCATGCAGCTCAAGTTTCATTCCCATGTGGTCTACTCAGCTCACATTTCATTCCCATGTGGTCCACTCAGCTCACATTTCATTCCCATGTGGTCCACTAAGCTCACATTTCATTCACATTTGGTCCACTCAGCTCACATTTCATTCACATGTGGTCCAAGCAGCTCAAGTTTCATTCACATTTGGTCCACTCGGCTCACATTTCATTCACATGTGGTTCACTCAGCTCACATTTCATTCACATGTGGTCCAAGCAGCTTAAGTTTCATTCACATTTGGTCCACTCAGCTCACATTTCATTCACACGTGGTCCACTCAGCTCAAGTTTCATTCACATTTGGTCCACTCAGCTCACATTTCATTCACATGTGGTTCACTCAGCTCACATTTCATTAACACGTGGTCCACTCAGCTCACATTTCATTCACATGTGGTTCACTCAGCTCAAATTTCATTCACATGTGGCCAACTCAGCTCACATTTCATTCACATTTGGTCCACTCAGCTCAAGTTTCATTCACATGTGGCCCACTCAGCTCACATTTCATTCACATGTGGTCCATTCAGCTCGCATTTCATTTGCAGGGGTCCACTCAGCTCACATTTCATTCACTGGTCCACTCAGCTCACATTTCATTCACATGTTCACAGCTCAATTTCATTCACATGTGGTCCACTAAGCTCATTTCATTCACATTTGGTCCA